TTCATTTTAGTTCCAAATACTAGAATTCATGTCTGTTTCATTCAAAAGATAAAATTGATTGCACAACAAATAACAACATGAATGTGCTTAGTTACCACCAGAGCCAAAAAGCCTTATCCCTTGCATATGTATTGTAGGTTTAACCCCGTTGAGCCTTATTTAGCCAATTTTCTTTGTTAGCCTGCATTATCCCTACCTAGCCTAGTATAAGAATATCGATATCCTTGTTCTTAAAGAATAGTGGAGCTTGATTTATTGCGAATTTATTTTGATCTACAATTTGCAGAAAAATAAGTGTGGGGGAAGAATTTGTTCTTTTGAATCCAATGAAGTAGTGCGTACGTTTGAAAGAAAAAAACAAAAAGCAGGAAAAAAAAAGATGAAAAACATTGAAGAAAAAAAAATTGAGGAAGAAAAAAACAAGAGGTTGAAAAGAAGTGAGAATGAGTTCATGAGTGTTGGTTGCTGAAGAAGGGTCCAAAAATGTGAATCTAACCCTAAAGTTGTACGAATCTCCCCTTTGTGTTTATAGTTAGATGTTGCAATCAAAAGTTGAATTCTAAGTGTTGATTTCATTACTTTGCTTACTATCACTTTAAGAGCCTTTGTTTATCCTTAACCTTTATTTGTTAGCCAATACCTTAGCCCCATTACAAACCTTAGACTTTTATCTTGATTGTTATGTTATTCAATATGTGGAGTTTGAAATTGGTATGAGCATATGGAATCCCTGGTTCTCGCTTCTAAGTAGTGGCATTCCATTCATGAGATCATATACAAGTTTGTATTAATAAAATTCAGAAAGTGCCTTCTTTGTTATAACATATGTGAGTGATAGTCTACATATTTACATCAATCTTTTCATATAAACTTAGTTTAGGGAGTGTAGTCAGAAAATTTGTGTGAAAATAGAGAGTATATCTGGTAAGGAATTGAATGAATTCTCTAAGACATGTTACTACTTTCAAATGTTCTTTTAATTGATTAAATGTGAGCCAGTGAGTGGTTACTACGGTTAAGTTTAAGCTCAAGAGTAAGGATTGCTAAAATCTATGTAAGTAGTGATTATTAATATGTCACGTTTCATTAGAAATCCCTGAGGCAATTGTTGGAAGGTTTAGGTCTTGTTTTGTTTTCTTTGTTTTGCTCGGGGACTAGCAAAAGCTAAGTGTGGGGGAATTTGATAGAAGCATATTTATGTGACTTTGTTATCTTATTTCTTTTCATTTACTTAGTTAAAATCCATTTATTGTAGTAATTTAAGTTATTTTTCGTATTATTGTAGATCCAGTTGGTAACGATGACAATAAATAGTCAAATGGGGCAATTTGGAGCAGTATTGGACTTGTATAATTGTATTGGATAGCATATGGGATGGACGTTTTTGGTGTTTAAATGGTGTTAGACATGTGCTAAACTCTAGAGAAATTAAAGTTGAGGCTTGGAAGACAAGGAATTACACAAGAAAAAGGAATCCTAATTGGAGAGGAACCTTATCTTATCTTATCCAACCTTATCTTATCCAAATCTTATCCTACTTTATCTTATCTCCAGCTGCAAGGAGAAATCCTTATCACATTCCAACACTTCCTATCTGATTCTAGGAGTCCTAAAATAATTCAAACAGCCTAATCCTTTTTCTCTTGGGATTCAGTTGTGCCTTTACCCTATATATAGACATTATTGCCGCAATTAAGAAAAGAGAAGTGTGTGCCACAACCTGCAATCATCCATTGAAGTTGCTGGAGTTTTCTGGGTTCTTTCTCTCTTTGTTTTAATTTTCAATGTATATTTTAGATCGTTTTTCAGTTATGATGAACATGTATAACTAAATTTTTTTTCAGCTAGAGGTGAATTTGAAGTCATGATCATATGTTTCATATAAATTGATTACATCTAGTTATTGTTTCATAAAACATGAATGTGATTTTACTTATCTGCTTTATAGAGAACTTATTCTTGTATGTTTATTAAGGGTACACAATTAGTTTGCAAGCAGGTATTTTATGTTAGAATATAAGGGAATTTCACCTAATCGTTATAAACTTATATTTGCAAGTAGTAAAAGTCACTAGTCATGATTGAGTTAATAAACTCTTGGCAGGAGTGTCATGCTTTTCATAGTTACGAATGTCTTGTCAATGCTTATGATTTTCACAAAACTTAATGATCTCTATCATGCTTTTCATAGTTAGGGAACTTGAGAAGAATAATTTGGTTGCGTCACTGAGTCCAATTCAATGAACTTAGGAAAATCTGAGAGTTAATTAGTGATGTTCACAATTAATTTGGGGTATTTTCATTCATGGTTTATATGAAGATAACTAGAAATCGATTTGTATGCATTGTTTCATATGCGGAGAAGAATTCTCTAGCTATCCTCTTACCCATATTTCATTCACAACTTAATTTACTTGCTGCCCTTTATTTTGTTTTAATTAAATTCGTCCAAAATTCCCCCATCATCATTTAGATGTTAGTTTAACTTAGTTTTTAGTTTTACAAGTTTAATGTGTGTTGATTAGCATCCCTTCTAATCCCTGGAATAGAACGATCCTTATTTACTCATACTACAATTACATAATTTATAGGGTTTAATTTATGTGTTAGTTTCTACCACATCAGAAGCACCGATGCCACGCTCGCAAGAATTCCACAAAGACTCTGGACTTTTTGAAGGCCAGGGGTTCACAATAGTAAGACAATGATGATTGTGGTATAATTCCACCAAAAATACAGTTCGGTGGCAAGATCGTCGAGGTTATGAAGATCTTCCGCAGAGGAAACAAACCTTTCACAATGTTGTTAGAAGCCCGAGGGAAAGCGTGTTCGATCAACCAGAAAAGCTAGAACATCAGATGTTCTTGTTCTTTCTACTCTTCTGCTTATCATGTGGTAGCTACTTCTAATTATACTTGTCATAGAATTCACAAACGAATGCGCTAAAAGAGGCTTGATTCTTGGTAGGGGTAACTTTGATCGGATGTACTCGTCCAGAAGAGTACCTTGGCGTCTCGGATGCTTCTAATCTTGAAGAAAATTGATGCTCGATGGGGGAAATAAACTTGATATTTGGACAAAAATCATAATTATAAAATGACATACAATTCCCTTATTTAGATTTATAAACGTAGAAATTTATAATATCGCCTAAGAACAATGAAATTTGGGACCTCTAATTCCCAAATTTAATGTAAATAAGTGTTATTTTCAAATTTCTATGAGTGAGAAATTTAAAAATAAAAATACTAAAAGAGTCAACCATGAGTGACCACCACCACCTGATAAGTGCATTATTTGTTATTATTTCATATCATTTATCCCTAAGTTTTGTTAAGGAATTGATTACAAAAGAGCCTTATTACTTTCCTTTTCTCAGTTTCAGCCATTGTGCTCACTTAGGACATTTTTTTATTTATGATAATTCAACTTTCCGGAGGAGTTTTGATGCAAGGCCAATTGGAGAAGCTAAGAGGCTAAAGATCGTTGTTCTAAATTTCATAATTTTCCATAAGCCAAATGTTTCAGTTTTCAAAATTAATCCTGCATAAGTTGTTTTCCCATCAGAATTGCGCAGCTGTGGGAGAATGAAGATTTGAAGTCTTTACCGATTTTTCCAAGTGGCGTGCTATATATACCTGGAAAGATAAGAGTAAAGCTACGTTTCCCATATTTTTATAGAATTTTCCAAAAGAGAAATCGGCCTCAAACTTGACATGCAAGTCAAATGACGTGCTCAAGCCAAGATGGACTCTTTCCTATTTTCTCTCATTAATTATTTAGGAATTTGTTTTCTTTTAGGATAGTTTTCTATTAGAATTTTTAGGGTTTTACTAGAATAAATATAGTGCCCTAGGCTATCTAAAGGGGGAGAATTGAATACAGAGAATTCGTCCAAAGTGAAGGAATGAAGCTTAGTGTGCTTTACCATTTTTTTGTGGGTTTTATCTTCTTCCATGACTTCTTTTGTGATTTTTGTTATGACTACGTGTAACTAAACTACTTTTCTAAGGTTTATGATGAAACCATGACATGATTATTTCCGAAGTATCTTGTTGATTATTGTTCGATTCCATTCCATGTTTAATTTTTAATCTGTGTGTTTAATTTATTCTAGTTTCAAATTGTTCTTGTGATTGGCCATTATTGTGCACTTGCTTCTAGATATGTAGATAAATCTAAGAGGATGACCAATCAATTAGATTTAAAAGATTAAGAAGAGTAGACAAACTAGTGAGGATGACCAATATCAAACTAGTCCTAATTGGTTGATATGATTCTTCAATGCTTAATGGGTTTTTATGTGTTTAACTATATGCCTAACCAATAGGATACAATTTTCATGTATAGACACACGAGTTGATGCCTGGCCACCGATTAATTCATATCTTAGAAAGAACAACCTTAAATATTGGCATGGTAATTGGACAGTAATCGACTTGAAGAAAAGGGAATAGGATTGTTATTGGTGGATTCATGACCTTAGGCTTTCATCCTATTAATTCGTTAAACCTTCTTTCGTTGTGTGTTTTCGTTTTTCATATTCCTCAGTTGATTATAAGTTGGAGTTTTAATTATTTTTCGTAATCAATTAATCAATCATTTGTTTCCTAATTAAGTTAAGTTTTGTGTAATCAATTGGTTGAATTGGTATTATAAGCAATACCTGTGAGATTAAACTCATATTTGCATATATTTCTACAATTGATTCATGCACTTGCAAGTTAAATTTGGTTTAAATTAATCTATTATTTAGGTTACTTTAAATACATATCAAGTTTTTGACACCGTTGCTAAGGATTGCCCTTTAATCCCGACTCGGCTTGTTGATTACACTTCCCTTCTTTCTTTCTTTTTTTTTTTCCTTTTTTTATATATAAAAAAATAAAAAATAAAAATCATTGGTTGCATCCCCATTATTGAATTGTTAATTTGACTTTCTTCTTGTCTGACTATTAGTATTCGGTTATCATATTCTATTTGGATACCTTCTTTTGTCTTTTCATTCTTCTATACCACCCCGAGTCTTCTAGTCTTCCAGTTGGAGTTGTTTGTTTGTAGTCCGTGAGTTATTAGGAATTACACTTCTCTGGTTTACTTTTTCTTTGTGTTCACTTAAATCAATCACTGTTTGCATTAATCATCACCAGTTCTCTGCGATACATTTGCAAGCAAATCACTGAAATCATTCTTTGGTTCTTTGTAGGTGAATGATCGATACTCGTTCCTCACAAAGGTAGCTTGTGGAATTCGAACCAAAGATTGAACGAAAGCGTAGGCAAATTCGCAAGGAACAAAGAGCATGGATGGCTAAGGAGAAACAAGAACAAGTAGAGATGGCTGCGAACGGCAATAACGGTGGTGTTCCTCGAAACATTTAAGATTTCTCTATGCCGCAATTTTCTTCTCGACAATCATGCATAGTTTATCCTGAAATTGATGGTACTTCTTCTTATGAGATCAAAGATTATGTTATTAAAATGTTGCCCAAGTTTTCTGGAGATGAGAATCAAGATGCTAGTGAACATGTAGACAACTTTCTGGATATTTGTGGGATACAGAATATTAAAGGTGTCTCCGATGAGTTCACTCGCCTAAAGTTTTTCCCTTTTTCTTTCAAGGGCGATGCTAGAACATGGTTCAAGACTCTGCCAGCAAGATCAATTAACTCTTGGACTCAACTTTCTAGTAAGTTCATTCAAAAGTTTTACACTCAGTCTAGAACTCAGAGGTTGAGAGATTCAAGGCTTTGATAATCAGTTGTCCGCACCATCAGTTTCTACCATGGCAATTAATTTTATACTTCTACCCGCACTTGAGTGATGAATGCCGCCATAGATTGGATGCTACAGCTGATGGAAATATCTTGGGTAAAGAACCAGAGTAAGCAACTACTATCATTGAAAATGTTACAAATTCATCTCAATGGGATAGTAAAGAGTTAACTCCGAATTCTACCTATGAAGTAAGTTCATCTAATGAGGTGGCTGTACTATCAAGGAAATTAGATGTTGTGGTGAATATGTTATCGAAAAATGCAGAACCGTGTGCGATTTGTGTTGATCATACCCATCCTACTCATTTTTGTCCTCAAAGTGGTACTTGTCTAGAAGTGGAGGAGACTAATCAAGTCAATGCATTTAACCATCAAAGAAACAACCCTTTTCTCAAATACTAATAATCCAGGGTGGAGAGACCATCCTAATTTAGCTTGGAAGAATAATTTCAGCCAAGGGTCCAAGCCATGGCAACAAGGAGCAGTATCTATAGAAACCAAGAAACCTTCTTGGGAAGAAGCATTAGCTCAGATGGTTTAAGCTAATACAGAATATATAAAGACCACCTCTTAACTTTTGCAAACTCTCATCGAAGGGCAGCAAATAAATAGTCAAGTCATCGGCAAATTGGAAGCACAAATCGGTCAAATCGTTACTGCAGTGAGTGAAAGAGAACCGGGGCGTTTTCCAAGTCAACCCGAAGCCAACCCAAGAGGCAAGGAGAAAGTTAATGCCATTAGAACATCAAGGAGTGGTAAGACTTATGATAGCAGGGAAGAAATCGCTGAAACAAAGGACCAAGAAGAGAAGGACAAAGAAGCAATTCCACTACCTTCTTCGCCACTTGCTGCTCCTGCTCTAAAGTTGAAGAATTATGATCCACCTATGCCTTTCCCGCAGACATTTCAAAGGCAAAGAAAGGACAAGCATATGTTAGATATATTGGAGGAATTTAAAAAGATTCAAATCAACATTCCATTACTCGATGCTATAGCACAAATTCCATCATACGCGAAGTTTTTGATCTTTGCACAAACAAGAGAAAATTTACAGACCATGAGAAGATTGAGCTTACAAATTGTTGCAGCGAAGTTTTTATCACTAAACTGCCTCCAAAATTTCAAGATCCAGGGAGTTTCACTATCTCGTGTGTTATTGATGATTTTAAATTTAATAAAGCTTTCTTAGACCTTGGTTCCAGTGTTAATCTCATGCCATATTCTATTTATGAGTAGCTAGGTATTGGAGAGCTACGAAGAACATCCATCTCTTTACAATTGGGTTATCGATCGGTGACTTATCCCAAGGGCCTTGTTGAGGACATTTTGATCAAAGTAGAGCAATTTATCTTGCCAGCGATTTCCTTATGCTCGACATGAAGGAAGACCAAAACATCCCTATTCTACTCGGTTGTCCTTTCCTTGCAACCGCTGGAGCTTTAATTGATGTCAAAGTAAGCACCCTCAAGCTTCAAGTTCAAGGAGAATCCATCGAATTCAAGATATTTGAAGCACTAAAGTTACCAACTGACGTAGCTTGCAGATTCAGTTGGTTCCTGTAGCAGAGGCGGTGGAAGAAGAAGATTAGGGTTTCTTTTGTTCTTTTGGGCTCTTTTTTGTTTAACTTTTTAGCCCCTTTGTGCTTGTACTTAGTCGGCTTTGAGCTTTGGTTTGAGGTCCAATTTTACTTTGTGTTAATCTTGTAATCAGGCCTCTTGGGTATTTACTCTTTGTACTTTATGGTTGTTGTCCTAAAAGATTATTTACAGTTTACCCCAAAAAAAAAAAAAAATTCTTAAAAAGGCAGTAGTAGTGTCGGTTGTGAAAACAACCCTAAGCTCTTATTTGTTTTTTTTTTTTTTTTCTTTTTTTTTTTTTGGTTCTTTTGTCGAAGCTCTTATTTGATTAGGAACAGGAGGATATATATAGAAAAACATTACTATGAAAATAAAATTAAGTTGTAATCATGTTCTGTTATTAATAAGGATAGTGCTATTTACGTGTCCATTTTCACTTTTTACATACTCATTTTAATTTTTGGTCATTAGATCGAATGAATTGGATAAGATTAATGGCCAAACATTAACAAGGGTGTGTGAAAGGTAAAAATGAGTGAGCACAATGCGGTTCGCTGTGGTTCCACCCTCAAAACGATACCGGAACTAGGAAATATCAACAGTTCGGTTTGGTGCATTCCGCTTAAATTTATTAGTAAAACCATACGATTCGGCCCACACCGATTTCGTTTCAGTTCATGCATGTTCACGATTCTGAATACTAAGTCATTTGATGCCACATCAAAATGGTATTCAAAGTTTACTTTTCTTTGGCTCTTGTTTTTGCATGCTTGCATTGCATTCAAATACGACTTCTAAAATGGTTATACAAAGTTACAAACAAAACATGTCATTTTCAAGTACTAAATAAAAATGCAAATATTGTTGACACCAAGCAAACAAAAAAAGAAACACAATTCAAATGTACATATGACATTCATAATACAAATATACATCCACACATACATATAGATCCACTATGCAGTAAAAATGTTAGTATGAATACAATATTTAAAGCCCAAAAGGACTTATCAAGAGAATAAAAAAGCCCCAGGAAAGGGAAAGAAAAAACAGGATGTAATTGAACACTTGAAGATCACTCTATCAAAAAAAAAAAAAATTGACACTTGAATTTCAAATTTGGAGATCTAGTAGAGAAAATGACCTCATTTTTTTCAAATATGTGCCTTATCTCATTAGGTAAACCGTGCAAGTGAAGACTTAATTGAGAAATGCTCTTATGCAATCAAACTAGGTGAAACCAGTTTGATTTTCACCATTCATTTAGTGACACATGTATACCACTATTAAATTTAATTAACTATTTATATTCACAGTTCAATTCTGTTCGGTTCTAAGCGGTTCTACCAACATGAAAATCGGAATCGAAACCTGTATCGACGGTTCGGTCCAGTTCTTGAACCTATGTTGACTTTTTTTTGTCAATACAGTTTTTTATGGTTTATTTTGTTGTGGTTCGATTCAGTTTCATGGTTCCAAGATTTTTATGCCCACTCCTAAAAATAGGTGTGTGAATAACATCATCCTTAAATAAAGGGCGCTAACTTTCACACATATTTTTTAGCTTTTCACATATTTCTTTATCTTTGATTATTGGATTGAATAAATCAAATAGAACAACATACATAGTTAAACATGAATGTATAAGAGAAGAAAAAGACCGCGGTGTGTTTATCATTTTTCTTAAACAAATCAATAATGCTATTCGAACTATCCTTTTTTTTTTTTTTTTGAACAAAATTCTAACTATCTATTTGTACCACAATTTAATACCATCTTACATGGCATCTTAAGTGGACAACCACATTTTTTAAAATAATTTAAATTTTTATTAAGTAAAAAAATTAAAAAAAACCCAAAATGAATAACTCTAAAACCTAGGAACATAAAACTACTTGTGTCCGTCTCCTCCTCCCTTCCTTACTTTCACAGTCACCATGTTTCATACGAAGACGCTTGTAGCAAAACCTCAATCGTATAGGAGCGTTGATTGAGAGCTTCGTGGGAACTAAGCTTTGTTACTTCAATAATTATACAATAGCACCGATTGCAGCAAAAAATTTAGATTAACAAGCAAAATAAATTTTATACAATTCTTGTTCGCGTGAGTCAACATTGGGGGTGCAACTTCGGCAGGTTGGTCAACCCAATCCTAACTCAACTTTTACACTTCAAGCTCGGGTTTAGTTTGGGTTGCATTCGGATTCATTTGGGGTTGGGTTTAATTGGGTTATGGTTTACTTGGGTTGGGTTCAGGTTACCCAACTTTTTCAAGTTTAATCTTGTAACAACTTAGTTTCTAATAATTCGTAAAAAAATTAAGCCAAGTAGCATCAAGGCTAGCTAACTTTATTTTCATAAATCAATCTACTATAAAGTTTTAGGATTTAGAAACTAGGAATATAGGGTGATTAATCAAATCCTCTTATTCACCAAAAGCTTAAGTAATTACAAAGGGTACTTTATTAAAAAAAATATTAGAAGGGGTGTTGGTTTTTGGACTTGGCTCACTTGGGTGTAATATGAGGTTTTTGGACTTGGCTCACTTGGGTGTAATATGATCATTAATTGATATGGGCTACAATTTGGTTAGATTGGGTTAAGTTGGGGATAGATGGGCAAATGATCAACCCAACTCAACTCAATCAATGAATAGGTCGAAATTGGGTTGGGTTTGGACAGGTTATAACTAAAAAAAAGGGAGCTTTTGATACTGGTGCCTCATTCCCCAACTTGTTTGATTAAACATCTATAGGTTTTACGTTTTAGATTGTACCTCCTCCTCTAAATGAGGAGTCAAGTAGATTACAAAAAAATGATTTCATTTTTCTAAAATTTACGAACACTGCCATTCTTTCAAGTGTTGAGAATTTATTTATTTTTACCAATAGATTTTTTCCTTCTGAATTTAGTATGTCAATTCCATTAAAAATTGTCATTATCCTTTTTATTTTGTTGTTATCCTTGGAATCTGGAAGTATTATCTCAATGGGTTTTGAATTTGAATTGTTAATGGTTGCTTACTCAATATATGACAACAATTGTACCCAAGTTAAATATGATATGCAAACCCGCTTGGTACACTAAAAATGTATACAACTGTTAACATACCTATTTGGAAAACTATCAATAAAAATTTTAAAACGTATCTAATAACTTCAAACAGATGTTACCAATTATTGACAAACGTACCAAATACCTTCCAACAAACGTACTAAATTATATCTTCTAACGTACCTTTTTCTTATTAATTTGATTCTTGGGTGCATTTTATCTCAAATGCTTTGGTATATTTGAAGGCATAACTAAACGTACCAATTTTGTACAACTTACTTTGGTTGGGTACGTTGGCATGATCAAGTTCGAAAATAGAATAATCTTTCTTTGTCTTATACAACTTGGATGAGTGACTAATTGTCACATCCCGGTCCGGGCTCCCACCACATCCTGGGATCGACTCTACCGTAGCACGATATTGTTCGTTTTGGGTCCCGACCACGCCCTCATGATTTTGTTTCTGGGAACTCACACGAGAACTTCCCAGTGGGTCACCCATCATGGGAATGCTCTCGCGCGAACTCACTTAACTTCAGAGTTCCTAAGGAACCCGAAACCAGTGAGCTCCCAAAAAACCTCGTACTAGGTAGAGATAAGAATATACATATAAGGCGTAGAGGATCCACTCCCCTGAACAATATGGGATGTTACACTAATTATTATTAATAATGGTTGGTACGTTTTTTGTGTAGTTGGTGTGTAAGTATCAATATTTTGGTACATTATTATGTAATGTTAATTTGGTGCATATCAATGATTTGAGATGTATAAAATACGTTTATTAATTTATTTGTACCAGTTATTTGGTACGTAAAATAATAATATTGTAAGACATACCACTCATATGGTACGTTCTAAACTACCCAAATGCATTCTCCATTCTTCGTAGAAGCATGCCTCTTGGGTGAGGTGGTTCCTATTTGGTATGTTTGAAGATATTGCCTCCTACAAACTTCTGTTTGACTAGCTAATGCGGTTGATAGCACTCTCATTTGTAGTGCTATCATTTTTGCGATACCTAACTAACGGTTGCTCACCAAGCATCATGCCCCAAATCAGAAGCATCAATTAGAGAACAAGGAAAGAAATCTGTTGAAGAAGAGTAGAAAAAAAAAAAAACAAATTAAACAGCAACTTACCAGCCGCGCCCATAAGTAGCAGAAAACATAAAAAACATCAAGCAACAAGAAACCTAAATTACCTCAAAAGTATATTACTATTCAAATGTGAATAAATAAATTTATGAAAGCAACCAGTAATTCAAATGGAAGAGCCCATCTAAATTTTAGACTGAATCTGGATAAACACAACTAATAATTAAAAAAAAATATATCCTTGAATAAAAGGCCATGCTAGGAAAAAAGAAAATGAAAAACCTCCAAAGAGGAGGATAAATTCGGAATTCAATATGTAGCATTTTAATTTGGAGAAATATATTAATGACATAAAAATTGATTTAAAAAAAAAAAAAAAAAAAAAAAAACTAAGGTGGCACCCAGTCAAAGCGCATTAATGATAATTTGAAAAGGCATAGACGTTTGATCAAAACAATGT